GAATAGGAACCTTTGACCGCTTCGGCCAGAGGCCCCTTTTTACATCCTGGAACCTAGAGTCTAGAGTTCAAACCCTAAATAAAGCTTAACATCCTGAACCTTACTTGGAGGACCATGGGACTTAGTAAGTACACTTATAAGTTACTCATTGGAGTGATGAGTAATTAACGTTTAGCGTGGTTATGAATTATAGCCCTAGCTACTAAGTCCCATGGTCCTCCAAGTACCGAAGCACGTGGACGATACAGCCCAGGGTAACCCCTATATAAACCCTTTGATACAGCCCAGAAAAAGCCCTAGTCCCGAGGATACTACCTACACTGGAAGAATCCTTGATTCTATGATACAAGCGCAGAACGGCGAAAAGCACCGAAACGGCCAAAAGCAACGAGTAGACAAGATGTACCCAGCAGAAACACCTGATCTGTTCGTTGGCAATGGCGAAAAGAGCACCGGCCATGGCCAAAAACCAACGATTCGTTTCGCCGTTTCGCAGTATGTTAAGGGCGCTAAACCCTAAACCGGGTTTAGGGGTTAGGGCTGCGGGTTGGTTCATGGTAATCATGTGAGCCCGACCTGCACCCAGTCCCATCGCCGTACCGCAAGACTCCGCCTGCTTTGACAAGTAAGCCTATATAGCAAGTCAACTTTCGCAAGCCCAGAACCTTAAAGCCTAAACCCTAAACCTCAAGCCCTATAAGCCCTAAACCTAAACCCTAAGCGCTAAACCCTAAGCCCTAGGACAAAGCTCGGAAAATTGGGCCGGCCGGCTACAGAGTTGATGCAGGAGTGGCCTGGGTGTCTCAGGGACCAGGGAGATTTTGTTCCATAAAGGTTAGGGTTTCGGGTATGGGGTTTAGGGTTTAGAGTTTAGGGTTTCGGGTATGGGGTTTAGGGTTTAGGGTTTAGGATACAGGGTTTAGGGTTTAGAGAATAGGGTTTAGGGTTTAGAGTCTAGGGTTAAAGGTTTAGGATATAGGGTTTAGGGTTTAGAGAATAGGGTTTAGGAGTGAGGATTTAGGGTTTAGGGTTTAGGGTTTGGAGTATAGGATTTAGGGTTTAGGATTTAGGGTATGGGGTTTAGGGTGTAGGGCTATATGTATCCTGTCCCGAGGCCGTTAGTGCGCTTATGCCACCGCCTGCCGCGGGACGGCTGGGGTGTACTAGCGAAGTCGGAATATGTGGTAAACTTGAAAGTGCTCCTTCTATAAATCGTAGCCTCTTTAGTCCAAGCCTTGTTCCAATTATTTCGTAATGTTAAGGCCCTTTTGTTACTGGTCTTTTGCTAATATTAAGCTAAGGCACTTTTGTTACTGGGTTTTTCTATTTTTAAGGCCCTTTGGTTACAGGGTTCTGGGTTCAGTAACTGGCAACCGCTCCTTTCACACTCTCGTCCGTATCCGGCGCCTTACAGCCCTAAAGTTCCCAAGCACAGAACCCCTAAACCCTAAACCCTAAAATCTGCTACAAGCCAGAAAATCTTGGGCCGAAACTTTTATTTATAGAGGTACCGCAAGAGTATTGAAGCAGCCCTTTTTCGTGCAGTTATGTGTATATATGTATATACCTATACATATGTGTACATATCATAGTCTTATTCTCAAGGCCCCTATTGGACCCTAGGCTTTATTAACCCTTAAAGAACCCACAGAACATCTAAAAGAGCATCGAACAATGTTTGACAACCAGAAACCCTATATCCTACACCCACAACCCTTAACCCTAAAACCCTGAACCCTACACCCTAACACCCTAAAACCCTAACACCTACAACCCTAAACCCTGAAACCCTAAACCAACAATCCTAAACCCTAAAACCCTAAACCCACAACCCTGAACCATAAAACCCTAAAGCCGAAACCCCCAAACCCTAAACCCCACAACCCTAAACCCTAAAACCCTAAACCCCACGACCCTAAACCCTAAAACCCTGAAGTTTGACGTCAGGAAGCGCTGAAGAAGGCGCTGACGTCGGCCGGCCTGGTCATGGAGGACCGGGCTTCGGTTTGGGCTTTACGGTCTAAACCCTTTTGTTTCGTAAAGCCCCAAGCCGCGACCGAATAGTCCAACTACTGACCGCTGAAGAGCAGTGTCGTGGAAAAGGCACGAAGGTGAGAATCCTCAGGATTTGTCCGGGAAAGCAAAGGCGGGTTTTGGGCTGTATGATTTTCAGTTTTGCTGGGCTCGGGTTTGTAGGGTTTAGGGTTTCAAACTTTGATTCAGGCCCAGGGTTTTCGAGATCCAAGTCCAGGGTTCCAAGTCGCGTCTGTCTTTAAAAACTTGCCTGTAGCATCATACCTGCAAGTTCCAAGGTTGCTTTCGGGGACTTGGGGCGGCATGTTTATTGTTTCCCAAACCGATCGAAAAAGACAAGCCCGGTGGGTTTAGGGTTTTAGGGTTTAGAGTTGTGGGTTGGGGTTTGGGGTTCAGGGTTCAGGGGTTGTGGTTTAGGGTTCAGGGTTTGGGGTTTTGGGTTGAAGGTTTTTGGTACAGAGTTTCAGGGTTCAGGGTTTAGAGGGTGCATCGGCAGCTCGCCTGTATTTCTTCAGTATTTTAGCATCCTCAAGGTTTTGAAGGTGGTGTTGGCCGATTATGTTTTTTTTTCTGTAGGTGGTGTGCCCCCATTTTCCATAGGTGTTGATAGCGTTTTGCTGGCTTTGCAGGCGTGGCTCCTTGCGGTGTAGAGTTTAGAGGTCGAAGGCCTTACTGTCGTACTTTCTGGTGTTTGGCCTAGGTATTCTCCATGGATTTCCTAAGCCTTAAATTTTGAACCCCAAACCTTAGCCGAAGTTGTTTCTGAATCTGGGTTGATCATTGTAAGGGCTTCATGAGGCCTTCTTAAGCGTCTTATGAGGGTTCCATGCCGGACCCTTTGCGGTAAGCATCTATTGTCATTTGATTGTTCGGTTGCTTCAGGATCCCAAAGCCCTAAACCCTAAACCCCAAAACCTAAACTCAGGGGTGGCGAATGAAGCGTTGCAGGATCGAGACTCAAAGCCGAAGCCCTGGGCTCTTAGAGGTTTAGGGTTTAGGGTTTAGGGCTTGGGAGTGGAGGTTCTTCAACCTGAAACGCTTAAGGTTCCCTAGGGGCGGGCTCGAACCTTCAATCCCCAGAAAGAGTTCTGAAGTTTCAGTCTCCGTATCAGCCAGTCTATAGTGACTAGAGTCTTCAAGTTGGATTTCGAAGTGCCGAGGCAAGTACCTGTTGAAGTGCTTCAAGATCACCCTGCCATGTGTATGTTGCATGTTGGACATTCATGGAGTTCCGATACATATATATATATATATATATATATGTATATGTAGATCGATAGATACTTCCGGATCAAAGAGTATGCTGCATAGGTGCATGAGCCTCTTGGATTGAACTTTGTCGTGAGGAGTTAGACGGTCTCATTGCCGTCCCTTCACTGTCCGATCCGCACTTCATGGAAGCCCATAACTTAGCGACGCCCTTCGCCTGCAATTGGAGTGTGACTCGAGTGCTAAATATCAACTTGCAAAGGACAGGGCTCATACAGGTGCTTTGAGCGAGTAGCATTTGCACTGGCACTTTGTGCATGTTCCTATATAGGCCGAAACGTTCACATGTTTGTCCGCAAGTGCCGGATGTTCATCCAGAACTTGAGCCGCGCCGTCCAACCTGATTCCTGTTGGTGCCAGCAAGAATACAGGAGTATGAGTAATTGACAATAGTATTCCTTAGGGTTCACGTAAAATTAGGCAGTATGCCAAGATGTCGCCTAAAACTGATTTCTAACTATCGAGGCTCCTATAGTCAGCCCCAGCCAACAGGCTACATGGAGCGACCTTGTACTTAACTCACAACCCTAAACCCTAAACCCTAAACCCTTGCCCCCGTAGTTACTATATACTCATACTACAATACATTCTAAGGCCAGAGTCTAACTATGAAGGCCCCCTATATGACCTACTGTTGATGATACAAACCCTGCATTATCTTAAGGACCCTAAACTATGGGAATTCCGGGATATTCCTTATTATGGGTAATGCAGGATGTTTCTTTAGCATCCACCGTATAACATCATAAAACCCAAGCCGTGCGGCCTGGATGCGGTCTATATGTAGGTACTTGCGAGTCAATGTATGCATATAAAACTATACATATATATATATATATATATGTAGATTCGTATATATATATATATATATTATATGTATTACAGCTACTTGAGCCCTTATACGATAATAATATATTATTAGGTCGTAAGGGACCAGGAAGGATTCGGGATTCAGGTTGAGTCTTCCGCATGACGGCGAACTTCAACTATGCATCAGGGTTTAGGGGTTAGGGGTTAGGGTTTAGGGTTTAGGGTTTGGAGATCCTCCCAAGAACCTCTATTATACAACATGTTCATCAAGCCGTCATAGCGCCCCTATGAACCCCAAATCGATATACGGAAGCTTAACCGCCTTGACCCCGAAATATGTGCCGGTGAAACCCGAAGCGCTAAACCAACAAACCCGCAACCCGAAACCCCAAATCTCCGAAAGCAGAACCCCCAAATCTGCAACCCTGCCCTCCCCCGTTAAAAAAAAAGATCCCGAAACCCGAAAAACCCCCTAAGGCAGGTGGGCCTTCTTCCCAGACCTGCTGTGCGTGTGCGCACCATCGACACCGGCGGTGCGGGACCAGTCCCTGGGCGGCTTTGTCTTGGTACTTGGAGGATCATGAGACTTAGTAAGAAAGGTTATACCTACCTTAATTTGGGGTTATAATTGCTTATAAGTATAGTTACCTTACTTATAACCCTAGTTACTAAGTCTCGTGATCCTCTAAGTGAGGATCTTGTAGTGGCTTGTAGACTACTCGGGCCCTGATATAACTCACTCAGAGTTGCTGGGTATAGTATACTATACGTATAACGGGAGTACAGGGGAATAATACTAATTACTTAATATTCCGACACCTATACTTAATATTCCGACCCCTATAAAAGCCTGGAAGATGCCTTACAACTGCACCTTTAACCCGTGTCGCAGGGTGCAGGGTCAAGGGTTTTGGATTCCCTACGTGTCCAAATATCCCATTAGCCAGGTGCGGGAGAATATATGACTATTAGTTCTTTGAGCCCCAAACCCTAAACACGACAAACAAACAAAATGAAGGACCTGCAGGCGTACGGCCTGTAACCCTAAACCCTAAACTCTAACCCAACTCTCAGAACGCCAGGTGAGCGGGCTGCTTGAGGCCGTTCGCATGGTGAAGGAGCTCTTGCCCTCCAGCCGCTCTAGGGTTTTAGGGATTACGGGTTAGGGAAGAACGGATGGTATGAACATAATGGGGAGGTCTCTCTCCTGTCCAGGTGTGGAGTGGGTTTGTTGTTATTCATGGTTTAGGGGCAGGTTTTGGACTGTAGAGATTTCGGTTCTTCTAGTGGATTGTACGGCCACTGTGGGATTTGTCTATGTGGGCGTCCCAAAGGACCTATTTTAGTACACTGTGCGTCAGAACCGGTGAGTCAGACCATCTAAGTGACGCTGAGCTCTAACACTGTGCTCAGTCTCGTCTTTGCACCAGCTATGCCGACACAATCGTTCGAACTTTTATCCGAAGACACACATCACCGCCAACTTGCCAGGGCTCACGTGAAAGCTTCAATCATGCACTTTTGAAAACGCCCCTGTGCTAGTTACTGCTACATTACGCGCAAGAATCTACTTTGAGTACTTGGGCCGATTAGGATAGACCCGCTCTCAAGAGCTCCTGTAAACCGTCATGAGTTTTAAGGGTTTAGTGTTTAGGGTTTGGGGGAATCTGTAGAGGCCGTATAAGACATGTATGAAACCCTTATGATGCCTACATGAAGTTTTACGAAACCTGTGTAAAACCCAAACAACCCTAGGTACTGTCATGGGGAATACTTTCCCAAATCATAGTAACAAATCCTAGTATAGAAACCCTACATTCTACTATATGCGCACTTTGAACCCTTTGGGAAACTATCGACAGCCACCCTGGAACCAGAAACTTTCATCACTTCATCCCTGAAGTTACCCCAGAGGCTGCATATATACTACCGCTATGGAATTAGAGCCCCAAAGGACCATCCTTATTATGGGTGTGAAGCCTTCATTCCATAATGGTGTTATATATATATATATATAGAGAGAGAGAGAGAGAGAGAGAGCCTCTCTGTACATATACCCTAAACTCCACAAGCCCTGGCAGGACGAGCGCTGCCAAGCCGTCGCAGTCGTTGCAGGCGACGCCGTGTCCTCCCTGAACACGGAAGAGCTCGCTGTCGTCAACATGGAGGTCTGAATAGCTCGGGTTTAGGGTTTTGGGTGCCTAGGTTAGGAGCAATCTTCCCTTGTAGTATCTCGTCCCTACAGAAAGCTTCTTTACCATACCCCGCCATTTTTTAATCGTTCATGGATCCATGAGGGGCGGGGCGGGCAGTGAGGGGGTTAGGGATCAGCTTATCAAGCTTGTTCTTCATGGCAATTGTTGAACGTGGCACATACATAATAAACACAAGTGGGTCAACAAGGAAATATTCATAGCTACATATCAAATCAAGGACATGTATGTATGTATGTATGTATGTATGTATGTATGTATGTATGTATGTATGTAGGTGTTTACATATATATATATATACACACACACACACGCGTCCTTCTATCTGCACACACAAACAGCCACACATGGATAGATCGGTAGATAGATAGATTGGGAGAGAGAGAGAGAGAGTGAGAGAGAGACAGATAGAGACAGAGATGGAGATAGATATAGAAATAGATAGATATAGAGAGAGGGATAGATAGCGAGACAGAGATGGACAGAGATAGAGAGATAAAGATCGATTAATTAGCATTGCTTTGTCGGTATGAGTAGACAGGTACAGGCAGGCAGGCACAGGCATGTGTAGGTAGGTCAGGGTAGAGGTAGGTAGAGGCAGGTCGGTAGGTGGGTAGGTAGGT